TTACCAACAGTTCGGAGGGACGTTTGGAAGTCAGCACAGCGTCAGAACCCAAAATATCACAATCCACGAGATAAGAAAGAAAACCCCATGTTCGTAGCATCAAGATTTGAGGTTCTCACGGCGCAGCGGTGTTGTCCTTTGTTGTGACGACGTGTAGACTCTTAGGTAGACCCGACGTTTCGGAGAAACGTTGTCTCCATCATCAGCATGCTTCTCCGAAACGTCGGTATCTACCTACACGGACAATATCGCCGCCGTGAGAACCTCACGTCTTCACTTGTGTTCCGGGAGGACCCGGTTCAAGACTCGGCCAATGCACCGCCTTCTTAGGTGTACAGAATGTCTGTGTGGCTCTTACGAAGAATGTCCTCACCAGAGAAATTTCGTCTGCTATAATCCTGGCTGCAGAATTGAGGCCTAAGCATGTGAATGTGAAGAGCCATGACATGATCCAGGTGACGCTGGAGCACAGCAAAGTGGCCGTGATCTGCCACCATCTCAGACCAAGCGAGGTCAAGCGTAGACTCACTCCGAGGGCTGCAACCCAGAGTAGCAACGCAGCAATTGTAAGATGCACCTTGCGCCTCAGACCCAGGGCCAAAGACTTTCCGGTAATACGAGTGAAGTCTGTCTGGAAAACAAAGATATTCCAAGCAACCCTCGCCCTCAGAATTCCATAGTAAAATATATGTATTCGACATGTCTTATTTTGTTTAAGAACCTAAGAGAAGGGTACAAATTATTAAATTTATAGTTGTGTAATATTCTCCACTACTCACTTACTTCTCTCAGAGGTTTAGATAGAATATAAAATATTCTTAACTGAATAATAGCAAGTATTTTTTCCTAAATTGAATGTCATTTAAATTTTATCGTATATATGATACCGATTTTTTGCTGTCGTTCTAAGTAACTGTCTTTTTTACCTGTAAATTTCCCCAGTCGTTGATAAAGCGTGTTATTTTCCGATATTCCAGGAATCGTACACAAGGCATCACAATCAGGAACACGTACCCAGTTGAGAAAGTCATTTCTGCAATGTCACATTCAAAGCTTGAAACATTTCTGGCGTACGCTCTCTGAAAGCTGTCTCTTAGTGTTACCACAGAACTAATAACTATCCCAGTTACCATTACAGCGGAGTACAGCATTGGAGCCGAAATGAATTCAAATGCCACCTGCCCTGAAATATTAAGAAAAGCTTTTTGTTATGTAAGTTAAATAAGAAATGAGCATATATTCAACTAATTGCTCAGAACAAGTATTTAAGGTATTAAGCTGTGGTGGGTTTGGTCCTATGCGGGTCGGTTGCTTTGGGTTCGTTGAAGTTTGATTTGGATAAGTTACACTGGATTAGGTTTCGTTTGAGATAAGATTGAGTCAGGTTAGGTGAGGTGAGGTAAGGTTAGGGTAGATTGTTCAGGTTACGTTAGATAAAGTTGTATTATTTTACGATGGGTTAGGTTGTGTCCTGGAGAATTTATAGCGTGTTCAACTGGTGGTCGTGGAGATGTACTGGAGAAGTGCTGGAGAAGTACTGGAAAAGTTCTGGAGAAATCCTGGAGAAGTTATGGAAGGTTATGCGGAAGTTCTTTGGTCATGGAGAAATGCTGGAGAAGTTATGGAAGGTTATGCGGAAGTTTTTTGGTCATGGAGAAGTACTGGAGAAATCCTGGAGAAGTTATGGAAGGTTATGCGGAAATCCTTAAACGGTGGTGGCTTTGATCCTATGTGGGTCGGTTATTTTGGATGATGGAGGTAGGAAGGACCTCTGAAACACTGACACATGTTTACCAAACTGTAAGACGCAAGTACACATAAGGCAACCATTTTGGCGAGAACATGAAATTTCACGAAGTTGGATATAATGTTTAATAAATTGCTATTAATTAGGAATAAAAATGCCCTAATTTATAATCCGACGCATGTGAATGTAGCACTACTTATTGAAAGGTCGAGAATCTCTGATTTAAATAATTTTTTGTTTAAAAATGTAGTTGTATGTTAAACTGACATCACAATTTACAAAACGAAACTTACCCTTCGAGGTGACGTGGTATGGCATAAGTCCAAATATTTTCAACGTGAAGAAGAGAGGTTTCATTTCTTCATAGTAGCTGTTTGCGTTTGGTCTTTTGTTGTTCAGTTGTAAATAAGAGAGTTGAGGAATATCTGCAGAAGACACGCCTATACGTATTGCATTTCCTTGCGTCGTACGTAATATATCTCCTTTTGATATTTTCATAAATTTTTCCTTCTTTCTCTTAATTTTTAACATAGTGCATTTATATCTGCCGGAAATAATATTTTTGACGTTTATAATTATAGTCAAAACTTTAGTTATTAATTTACCATAATTTTATTTATGTTGTTAAAACAACATAAATAAATAGTTTAAAACGTGTTATAATTAAACACGTTTTAAACCCTAATTAATTAATTAACCAACCACGGCTAAACAATTAATCGTTTAATGAACTGTGGTAAATATATGTACCATCTGCTTATCATTTAGTAACTCTGCAATTCGCCCACGGAATACATTTATGTGTTTCATATGATTCTCAGAATAAACTTCGATTATTTCCCTAAAGTGCAATAACCCACTGAAATCGGTAATGGTGAAGAGTTGTGTTTTCTTTGCGGTCCGGACTGAATTCTATTTAGACACTCTTCGTACTTCAAAATGTAAATGATTTCATTAGATTCACGATCTGAGCGCTGTATTTTGGAAGATAACGCAAAACGAACGTTGAGGTCCTGTAGTTGAATCTGTATTCTGAAAGTAAAGAGTTTGAGTTGTTCAACCAGAGAACTTCGCGATTTTCCTCCGTGTCTCCACGAAAATACTGAGCCTATCAAGTAACTGTCTGACAAGAAAGACTTTGTACCTTGCAATTAGTTTAATCTGAAATGGAATCAGCATTTCCCTCGATTGGTTTGCGTTCCCTCAGGACTCCTCATTATTCACCTCGACGTAGAACTTCCTGCGTCTGTTTTTTCAGTTATGTAAACAGATAATTGCTGGTGGGTGAAATCATTAAAAATATATCACTCATCAATTTTGTAATTAGTTAATTGGCCACTATTTCACACACCTTTATACTTGCTCGGAAGTTCAGGTTCGTTCATTAACGTAAATTACAAAGACCATATTTTGAAACGACAGGGTGATCAGAAAGTAGTTTACAGGGTGTGTATACCACATGACATAGGGTGTAACCTCACTTAATTGAATCGCCACTGTATTATTGCGAGTCAGGAATTCACTCCAAGTTTTAGTGGCGACCGAGTCCCGGCAACAGACACATTAGCATGTGAGAAGCGACGTCTCTGGTGTTTTGAGTAATTTTGTTCTTTTAGCCTGTTCACATTTCTTGGCAGGTAGTTCAGGGACATCTTCGTCTTCATTATATTCCCACAAAATATGTTAATTAGTATCGATATCTGAATTCGTGTCTTATGGTGCAAACCTAATGGCCATCATCTCAGAAGTGTTCCAAAAATTCTGACTAACCGATTGAAACTTCAACATTTCATGTCTCCACGTCTTTTGTAGATTCCCAGAACTCGATAACAGATCAGACTGAATGTCACTTTGACGATGTCATCTTCAGTGTCTGACGTGCGTGATCACTTGGGTCTAGGAAGTTTTGTTTTCTGCTCAAAACGGATGTTCAAATTGATCCCACAGGAATAATTACAGGCTGTCGGTTTGATGTGCTATAATTAAGTTTATTGTGTCAAGTACAGTGCTGATGTCTTGGTTACTGATGAATCATTAAAATTACTGGCCTCTGACGTAACACATTTCATAGTTCAAAGGTTATATTTTGCTGCCCTGTCAGGACGTATCAGCACCTTCGTTATTCCCATATCAATACATCGAGCCCATAAGAATGTGGAGAACACATTCGAGTCTTGAATAACATTGTTACAGCAACGATCTTGGTTACCACTCTTAGTGTAAAGAACACCCATGCCCTTTTTATCGTACTCAAAAGAGTACAAATTTGCAATGTCATTTCATGTAATTGTGGAATTACGACTGGTAATTACAGCGTGTAATAATGTGTTTGTGTTTCTGTATTCTAGAGGAAATAAGTAATACTTTTACCCATCATTCGTAGCGATTCTATGGCTGTAAAGAGTTATTAAGGTGGAACATGGTTATATGACGATATTTAGGTGTTGATATTCATTAAATTTCTAAACGTGGTTCGTAAATGCCTGCGAAGAGTAATTACGTCCTGAGGCGAAGGAAGATCTGTGATGGGTCACGTCAGGCGTTGATGTCGTTCTGTTCTGAAGACTTGTCACTCATTTGGAACTGCACAAGAACCACCAGATACGTCGCCATGGCTGAAATGAACTGAAAACATACTCACTTTAAGAATTAGGAGCAAACAGATTTTAATGTGGATATTGCCGACGTTTCGATGACTTTTAATGTCTCCATCTTCAAGGAAAAATGACTTCCGAATGCCCCCCTACAGATATTTATTAAAACAGGTCTGTTGGAAGAGTTGGAAACAGCCGTTGAGGTGTTATTTCGCCTTGAAGACGGAGATAGTATGGCTGTCCGAAACGTCTTTAATAACAGCCTTAATATGTGTGAAGCTTTCAACTCAAAATAGGACCCACGTTTGCACTGAACCATCGTAAAGACCTTATATCTTATTCATATTTCAAAAATCTGTCATTTATCTCGTTTACATAGTTGGATATTGTCTATTGGTGACATGATGATATTAAACGGAGCTGCATTTACGATCAACTGTGGTTATGATCCAGTTTAATCAATTGATAATCGTAATATGACTTTGGAAATTACCCAGATAGTTGTGAAAACTTACAGAAGTGACCAGTCCTCTGTTCACGTCGACAAATCCGGAGAAACTTATCGTCGGAGGGTTTCGTCCAATTACAGATAAGAAATATCTCATCTGGAACAGAGAACTATTTGCTGAGAAACGATGTAACAAGAATTGGTACTTAGAATAAGAAACATCTTGGACGTCACAACAGAGTCACTTTGGTAAACCAATTGCATTTGGTGCAGAAGAATTAAGTGAAATTAACTTTACATTTGATGTGTTTTTATATGGATCAGGATTTAAGTTGACGGAACTAAGTTCAAGACACGAGCCGTGAAACTGGACAAGAGTAAAAATGTAATAATAGTTGCAAATATCGACTGTACATTGGCAATGACAGATTTACAGAAAATTTCTTATTAGCACTGTACAAACATATCTAGTGTTCTATAATTCCATGAGAGTGTGCACTAAAAACACGTGTTCAGAGGAGAAGCGCAAATTACTTACCTCCTTTATTTGTTCAGTACATGTGACTGGCAGGTCGTTCGTGATTGACTGTAGACGTTCGGAGAATTTGGTACCCACCTGCATGTTGTCAGCAATGAAGTTTTAAAATATTATTTATTTTAAAATATATAAATATATAAAATAACCGTCAGTCACAATAAAATTTAAAGATTAAAAGATTAAAATATCATATTATGTTCCCTATCGAGTACTCGATTTACATATGGAACTTACACAACATGTTTCGGCTAAAAGTAGCCATCTTCTTGAATCAATATAAAGGACAAAACATCAGAAGAAAAATCATTAAAAGTCATTAAAATTGTAAAAAGCAATTCAGTAAAAAGTTTATATATAATACACCAGAAGATGGCTACTTTTAGCCGAAACATGTTGTGTAAGTTCCATATGTAAATCGAGTACTCGATAGGGAACATAATATGATATTTTAATCTTTTAATCTTTAAATTTTATTGTGATTGACGGTTATTTTAAATATTTAAATATTTTAATACTATTAATTCACAATATGACGCATCTACAATACATTATTTATTTTATTCAAATATTTGGTGTATTTATTTTGAAGTAAGTGAACGTCATAGGTTGGGGATGTTTAGGAGAATATTTGGACCTAATGGAGAGAAAGCGTCAGAAAGAGGAGAAAATTTTGCGGTGAGAAGATTCAAAATTGTATTCTTCGCCTAATATTATTAGGGTCATAAAGTCAAACTGGTTATTAGAGGCTGGGAATGCCTAAGCTTACAAAGATTTTGCTTCGAAACTACGGAAGGAAAAGATCACTTGGAAAATCTAAGTGTAGATGGTAGAATAAATTAAGTCTGGCTGCCTGACTGTACTCGCCTCGTTGGTAGCCTCCTGTGCGGAATTGCACTGCACAAAGATGACGATTTGAAACAGCAAGGCCGAGGAGACAGCGGCGTAGTTGTAATTGTCCCCCAGGTCGACCATAAAGCCGTAGCTGAGAAGGACGCTCATGGCGAAGTAAATGAGTATCTGTCCGCCATATGTGAAGCCACTGGAGCTTCCGAGGTCTTGCATCAGCTTCCGGAGACGCAGCCAAAACTTGCTGTAACTGGAAATCTTGCCCACGGTCACGAAACCTCGTGGGAGGTGCTGGAAGGGACGGAACCACTCGCTTCAGGGATTCAATCTCAGCCCAAGCAGGCAAATCAAAATATATTATTACGTACAACTATCGCTTTCGGGGATGGGCCAACGCTTCAGCTAAGATTACATGTGCCATCTTCGGGGCGAATATGTATTGAATGGCTTAGGAAGTCTTATATATGCCAGGCAGTAGTTGACGAGTGGGATGCCAAGGATTTGATTGATGGAACAGAGTGACGTGGCTGAGGAAAAGGGGTGATGTGTTGAAGGCCAGGACAAAATGTAGAAGAAGTGACCACATGGTTCGAACAAATTGTTCTTAGTCTGAGCGTTCATCAAAGTTATCTGCATATTAAATGATTTAGAGCAGCGAATGAACGTTCTGCAAGATAAGTGCTGAAACAAGTGATCGCGGCGAGAATTTGCTGGAACATTTGACACGGCTTACATACTACATGGAGCCGAATCCTTCCTGAGGACCCAACAGTCGCTCAGACACTCAAGACGTCCCCAACATCTTATGGAACCCGAATATTCATTACCGTGTCCACAAGAGTCCGCCACGGGTCCCTATCCTGAGCCAGATGAATCCAGTCCATTCCACACCATCCTATTTAATTTAAGGTGACTTAGAGAAATATATTCTTATCCGTCAAGGATAGCTCGTTAACGGTATTAACTTACGGCGAAAGATTTTAAATTCCGCAGAATTTACCGATAAACAAATATCGTGAATTGTGAAAGTGATACAGAATTACGCTTATTAATTCTGTATCTGAAAACATAAGTTGCTCACTTGCTCGATTTCGTCTGCCAGATCCCTGGCGACTTTGGTGATTGCTGTGCACGTGAATACCCAGATGAAGGGCAGGATCATGGTGATGGCAAAGGCGAATATGAAGCCGAAGATTTGCCACCAGTACAGCATAATGCCAGTAAAGTAGACCATCAAACTGAATGTAGGAATGAGTACTGCGCTGACAGACAGACAGACAATCACTTTTCTTCGTAACTCCAGGTGCAGACGCCTTCCTGTTATTTTCCGGTATTCTGTCTGAAACAAGAAAATAACAAAACCTGGTCAGATTTCAGGTTCTCAAGGCTACGAATACGAAAATGGTACGTTTCAGAGTAGAGTTTGATCGACGTTTTAGGGGTGTTTGCTGTCTCCGTCATCAGGACGATGATGGAGGCAGAGGTACCCTTGAATCGTCAGTCAGCTTTTACCAGGGTGTCGTACCTGAAGCTCCGTCCAGCTGTTGATGAACCTCATCTTCTTACCAGTCTCCGGCCAGTGATTTATCGGTACAATGAACACAGACGAGATGAACAGTCTTGCTGCAAATACAATAGTTTTCTCGGAAAAGGAGTCTTTCGAATCGGTGTTAAAGGCGAATCCGCCCATCAAAGTGAAGCCGACACATGTCGATATCGAACCGACGAACCCGATTGAATACAACATGGCTGCAGACAGCCACTTAAAGTGGACGGCGCCTGTAAGAAACAGGACAGTTTTCTAAATATTGCTTGACAAATGCGTTCAAGGGGGCTGGAATTGTCTTCATTAACTAAGCTGTGAGATTCTCTTGAAAGACTCAGCTCCACGCAGTTATTTGGTTGGTCGGATGGTTAGTTAATTAGTTAGTTACCTGTTGAAGTCGTGCTGTAGGGTAGAACACCTAATATTCTGAGCAGAATCATGACGGGTTTAATTTCTTCGTAGAACGTAGAGGCTTCCTGTTTGTCTTCCCATGCAGACGTTGTCATTGCCGCTGGCTGCAAGTTTTGCAACAAGTAGGAGAACACCTTGGTCGCCTGACTTGATGGCCTGTGCTCAGAAGTGCCGTAGCCCCGACCGGAATATTTCGCTGTCCTCTGAAATGAACGTAGTTCTAAAACACGCGCCATTAATGTACTGTAACAGAGCGTATTGAATCGATAGAACGATTCTAATACGACCAGTGTTATCAGTAAAATGATCTTTGAAAGTCAAAGGAGAATATTTTATTTCATATCGAGGTCTCCTTCCCCCTTTTATCCTCTCATCCTTTCCCTGTCATCTGTTGTTATTACTGAGAACTTTTTATGTCTGTCGTGCTGCGTTATTTGAAAGTTTTCTTCGAGGTCCGCGACTGAGAGCAACCAAATAAAGATACGAGCCTGGGGTTTATGCGTCGTAACACACATTTCAATTATTTCAATGATGCATCAACGAGATTCGCCAATGGAAACCGATGAAGGATTCGAGTTACAAGAAGTTCCAGGTGGAACTCACCTAATATAAAAGCTTTCAGGCCTGCGATATAAACGGATAAACTGTGCTGTATGTAATGTCAAAAAGAACTGTATTTAGAAGAAATAAATATATACCTACTTACCTTCATCAGTAAATTTAAACTGAGTTCGCCAGTCGATTGTCAGCGCAATGGTGTTTTCAAATTGAAGCATTTGCGTGGTAAGTTTGTTGATCATTTATTATTTATCTGGCAATTAAGCGGTTTCAATTCTTCTCCTTAGAAATTCTGAATAAATATTCTGCAACATTTTGTGTTTATTACGCTGCGTAATTTAAAATACAATTTCCCTAGAAACGCCATTATAATAAAACATACATTAATCTCCCATCACGAATAAGAGTAGTGGACATAAATACTTAATGAATAAAAGTGATAGATCGATAAGCGATGCCTGCAGTATTCAGCGTCGTTTATTGTTTTTGTCAGTGAATGCACACGAACTGCATGTTTCGGCCCAATGCGGCCATCAACAAACAACACACCGGGATGCTACGTCACAGAGGCGACTCTTATGCTTAATTCGTATTGCCGTAACAATAGCAAAGTTTATAGAATATAGGTTCTGACTATACAGGGTGATTTTAAAATAATGTCTACGATTGTAAGGGAATTATTCAGTGAATTAATTAACTTTTAAAGGTGATTATTAATATAAAGTCTCTATCAGAGAATTATAAATATGAAACTTTTATATGTTATCTATAAAAATATTTTAACAAATGGAGCGTAGACGTAATTTTCAGTAGGCTTCAGTTTAGGCGCAGTTTATGGGTCGGAGAACATCTAGTCGCCGTCCATTCTCGCCCCTGCATTACATTTATAAAATCTGAAACGCCCTTCTCGGAGTAAGTCCTTGGGTATGATCGTCGTGAAGATATTTGTTTATGACGAATTGTGTTTTGTGTCGAACATGCAGCGTTGTCTAGTTCGATTAATCTCGTGCGTTTGACTGGTGTTTGGAACGATCAGCGGGTACACACACACTATAAAGGCAGTTAAGGTACAGTGGATGTTCGTGAGAGAAATTGCTTTTCTATAATTAACCAGTTATTTTTCACACGACATTTGATGGTAAAACCGGTTTAAAGAGTTTTGTGAATAAAACATCCACCAGTAGCACTAATATAACCCTTTATTTGCTACGAACGAGATAGTTCGTATGTATTTTGTGTCTGAGGCGATCAATACAAAGAACGTATACCGTTTTAATTAAATAAAAAACTTTGCCTTTTAAACAACACAGATAAATTATACGTTACCATGGATATTAACAGGTGAAGGGTTCTTCAAAATGGAAATAATTGTATTTGTTCTGGATTATTCGCGCTAAGTGAATAAAATGAAGGCATAATGGAGAGGTCATTTACGTGTATGATGAATCTTTCTGTAAGGCTGTCGATTGAGTTGCTTTTCTGGGACATATTTATCTGCAGTCAGAACTCAGTTCACCGGTACGAAGGTAAGGACACGGAAGTAGTGGAATTTGAAGGAATAAGGATGTTTTCGATAAGTCATCGCAAAATATGTTTATTGATTAAAGCGTACAAATGCAGGCGAATTGTAATTAGGTTAAAATGTTTGGACGTACTCCTCTTTAATAGCTAATTAAACTGTCATAATTTATCTTGTGACATCTCTCAAGGGTATCGCAGTTACCGCCAGGGTTATGCGGACCACATTTTGAAAATTACCGCCTACGCCTAGCGTTTCATTGCTTGTTACAATTATCAGTTTAAATAAATTGTGATTTACCATCAGTTCCCTTGAGAACTGTAAATACATTATTTGATCTGCTACTATATTTAAAAAATAATTCGAACGTCAAATAACTTTACATATATGTGAATAGTGAAATAATTTTTTAAAACAAGAACTGTATATTTTTTTTTAAAAAAAACTCTTAAATATATATTTATAACCACTTCAGGACAAACATCTACCACTAATGTTTCACATCTCACTAATGTTGCACGTCGCATTTTTGTTAATTGTTGAGTCGGCACTGATCTGAAACTGTGTTAGCACGACCAAGTAGGTAACCATGGCTGACGTGAGCTAAAAAAGAGGGATGCAAAGTTGTAAACACACGCAACGTGGTTCCTTGGGGGCAGAGCCCTTTTCTATAAGCTGGCAGTTCGCTCACCTTTCGGAGGAGCTTTACGGTCTTCGTGGGACCCGAATATTTATCACAGCGTTAGCAAGAACCTGCCAGAGGACCCTAAGCTCAGCCAAGTGAACCAAAGTCCACACTTTCACACGCTATCTCTTTAAGATCTATTTTAATATTATCCCCCCCCATCTGTACTCATATTTTGGGACTAAAAATCTGTATGAAATTTCGTTCATTCGTGCTACATGCCTCGCCCATCTCATCTTCATTTAACTCATATTTATGGAAGAGAATAACTTCTGCACCTTCTCATTACTCAATTTCCTTTAAAGGGAACCAGGTTCTACACCCAAACAAAACAACAAAATGCAGTCCCTTGAGGTTTTCTTTGCAGAAATGTAATATATTTTCTCATTCTCCCCTTGCGTGCTACATGATCTGTCCAGCTCATTATCCATCACTGAATACCTAGTTATCTGATGGAATGTAACTTACCAACATGGGATTATTTTATCGTGCATTTTAGTAACAAAACTTAAGCACTCCCCTTGTAATAGTTTAATTATATTGATTTAAAATCGTAAATAAGTGTATATTATTCACCAGTTCTTTCACATACTGTCGGTTTAGAAGAGTTTTAACTTACCGACGTCTGTAATCCTCTGTTTACTAAGACGAATCCGCAGAAGTTGATTTTAGGGGGGTTTTCGACAATGGTTTGAATGAAAAACCGCACCTGTAGAAAATACATCTCTTAAAGTCGCAGTGCCTTAAACAAAACTATAATCTGTAATTCCTAATACCTCTAGGGCTTTTTTCCCTCCAAAGGTTGGTATCTGCCTATCAGTTCACTGGGCGTTATAACCCATGAAACAAAAATGTACGAAATTTAGTTTTGGTTTGAGATTCCCGTTCTGGAAATTTTAAGCTTATTGCACCTGTATAAAGTATTTTAGAATCTTTGCAGCTCTTACTATTTAAATTAAAAATTTTAAACTTACCTCTTGTCTGCTGTCAGCGAAGTGTCGCGGTATCTTGTGAAACAGTTTCTGAAGCCGTTCTTGCATGTTTATTCCCACCTTTAAAGACAGACAAATTAACGTATTAAGTGACTGACTGCATCTGCTAATCCCCCGATTTGAACTGCGAGCATTTCCGTCCTTTTCCTCAGTCCCTCTAGAAATGCAGAGCCTTCAGATAGCCTGCGGTCGATTCTTTCAACTTTATTATCTACTACATAGGCCTGTTCTGAGACGCTACGTAGCCTAACTTCAGTACTTGGTGCGGTGTTGTGGAATAATTTAACAAATAAGAGAGCGTGTTAATTATATTGAGATATTTCTCGACCTTTTAAGAAATCAAAGTCGCAAAATAATCATATAAATATTCGTTAAATTCACAAACAAACAGACAGACAGAGCAAGTTCTTACCTCTTCAGTGGCGTTCTGAGCTGTGTTGCAAGTGACGTACAGAAGCCAAGAGAACGTTAAGCCGCAAGATACGAACACGACGTTGTTCATGACGAAGCCCTCTTGCAGATTAGACAGAAGCCCGTACACGGCAAGGACCTGTTCCACGAAGTAGGCGATCACCTGCGTCAGATCCAGTCACACGCATAAATATCAAGTCCCCAGATTTTCGTGAAATTTGGTATCAGCAGAAGATATTTAATCATTGAATCATTGTAACTTGACATGTGACATTTCTAGGTTTTTGAGGTATAAATACATTTAGCATTTATTGGCGGTGCTAATGGAGGTAGTTACTGATGAAGTGAGACCCTTCGGAACTCTTTAGTGCATGCGCGAAGTCGTGTGACCGTCACCTGGGTTCCGAACGTGAGGCCCATGGAGCTGCCCATGTCCTGCGTCAACTTGCTCAGTTTTAACCACAACATTCTGTATTCGGCAATCTTGTCCTCGCAGTTGAATTCACACGTGGTTAAAAGCTGTAATCAATTAGGAAAAAAACGTCAATAGAATTTACCTGCTGCTTTGCAACCAGCTCCATGAAGCTGTCTTCCTGGACAAGCTGATAGTCGCTCACAGCTAGTCAAGGAAGTCACCGAGTTTTATGCAACCCTAATGCTCAGAAGAACTCGTCCAGATTAATTCAATCCACACCCCCGAACCTTATTTCCCTAAGACCCAATTTAATATTATCCTCCCTCCAGGCTCTCCAAGTAAAATTTTGTACGAATTTTTCTTCCTGTCCATGCCTCAACCATTTTATCCATATTTGGATTTTCTGGACATGTATCACATGAGGCTGGATAAATTTGTCAAGATTTTGGTTAGAAAGCCTAAAAGGAGAATACTCAGAAGATTAAAGCGTAGGTGGGAAGATAATATTAAAATGTATAGTGAAGAAATAATATTGGAGGGTGTCGACTCGGTTCTTCGACGTGGAATAGGGACCAGTGGCGGTCTCTTGTGAACACAGTAATGAACTTTCGGTTTTGGGGCGTTTCTTGACTATCTGAGCGACTGTCAGCTTCTCAAGTGTTCACTCACTCGTTCTATCTGCTCCATGAGAGTCCTGGCAGCTGTAACCAGCGCCCGACCATTTATGTGCCACATGCCAGTGTTCAGGACGCAGGAACACAGACAGTAGAAGAACGGTAGAGCAAACCAGGCTCTGATCTCTTTTAGCGTCACATAGGGGAACGACGTTATCCCAGAGCAGACGAGGATTATGAAGGCAATTCTCAGAGTCACCGATCGTCTCAGGTTCAGGTCGAGTGGTCTGCCTACCACAGCCTCGTACTGTCTCTGAAACCCAGAAAACAGGTGGAAAGATGAAATCGCAGATCTGTTTTGGCAATCAAATGAGAGACGAGCGGGAGGTTTCTATATGAGTCTGGTGGAAAATATTTGTTCCTGTCCGGCCCTTCTTTCACTTTTTCGTCGCAGACTAATTCGCAGTAAGTTAGGAGAGGGAGGTCATTAATAACAAAGGTCAGTAGAACTTCTCGCGCGTGACCTTGAAACGGTCAGATAGACCTAGTGCAACGAGGAAGGCAACCACCAATACAACACAAGAGGTTTTTTTTTTTGTGAAACGTTAATTGGCTAGTTTATATCTTAAAACGGTATGAATCTTGTATTGTTTGGTGAGTATTAGGCTCTCAAGGCAATGAGTATGAAGAAGACTTTCTTCTGGGATTTTGTGTCGTTTAGTCTGGTGGAAATTAATTTACTGACGTTTCAGAGCAGATTACTGATTACACCATCAGAATCTCAGAAGACAGCCATCTTCATCTTGCATTGTTTTTTCGCCTTGAAAGAAAATCTGCATTGAATGAATGAACATTAAATGAAGTATGCAAAATCACAAATAATTCTCTTTGAACGTACAAGTAATTTATTGGAAAACATCGTTCCACTTAATGCCGTTCTTGGAGTGTCGAGGTCAGTAACACATAATTCCTTCCCCCTTCTAAGCATGGATTTGGTGCCCATTTCAGAGGAGCCGTCTTTGTACTCGCCGATGTAAAAACCTGGAATGTCGCGTAATATTTCTTTACCTGGTAATCTGCCCAAGAAGAGACGTATTTGGCTGTCTTTCCAGATTCTGGTAACTGGACAAATGGCGACAGGAAAAGAGGCGTAAACGCTCCAAGGAAAGTGGCCTCGATGATCGCCTGCGCGAAGTCCGGTCCCTCCCTCATGAGGTAATCAATCCTGTGTCTCCATATTAGTGCTCCCCCAGTCAGCATGATCCCCTGGATTAGCGCGGTGTAGAGCGTCAGGAAACTGAACAGCCTGAATTCCACGTCACCTGCAGAAAAATTTCGCGGTCGGGTGACGTAATGGAAAGTTATTTGCGTGCTACAGACAACGCACGCACATTTTTTTTCTTTGTTATTTTCATTTTACATGTTACCTGCGTCGTTCGTATGAAGTGGAAAATGCCCCGTAAGTTTTTGTAGTTGAAACATTGGTCTCAAATCGTACACGAAGTTGCCCGGCTGAATCTCCGTTCTAGGTGTCCCTGTCGTTGGGAAAACGATGTTCTTCTTCTTGTTCTTCTGCTGTGCTGTTCGAAGTTTGTTGACGTTAAAGTCTTCCTCCGGAGAAAGCATCGCTACTCCAGGTCTGCCTGCCATGGTCTCTGTAACCGAGGGAGGGGGGAATCATTAATTACAAACAGAACAAAATAAAATTTACCTTCGTGTTCGGAATTGCTACAGACAGACATGCAATGCCATGTAAATCGAGCGTGCGCCTGGTGGATGGCAGAGCGAAAGCATGAGCTGATACCAGCTTGGCAGAAACAGACTAGTTCATATATTTCGCGAGTATGTTTTTGGACACCCTTGCTCCTAACGTTTTTCCTCAGTTGTCTCCCCAAAAGTAGCTTTTCTTTTTTTCGTGTATTTTTCAAAGTCGTGCCATTTTGGAAATACAGGTTGGGACAGAAAGACATTTACGTGATTTGGATCCAACCGGTGGTGGATGTTGTCTTGGGAACACGCTCACTAATGAACTTTCTGATTACGTAAAAGCCGGGAAATGTTTTTCACCATGCCAGGCGACTATCAGCTTCTCAAAGGGACTCTATTCCATGGAATTATTTACGTGATATGGGTCTTAAGGTGGCAGCTTACGCACTTGCAAAAAATGCGTCCCTCAGCACTGCGTTTCCAGGTGCTCGTTGAAGACTACTTACTTACGTTCTGTTTTGCTGGATCGAAATGCAAACTCGTAGATTTCGCAGTCCGCTCCTCCAGCCCCTCCAAGAGGAAGCGAGAGGCGTGTGGGCTTCGTACTAACATGCGATCCCTCAAGTGTGGAAACGAGAGGCGGGGAACTGTTAATAAATACTTAATGAGCGCCATTCTGACAAATGTTTTACCGATCTTGGATCAACACGTACAACAGAGACAAATACGTTCTTCACATGTTAAACTTTCTGCTCAAAGTCATTGGATTAAGTCTTCAAACAGACGAAGATTTGAACTGATAATAATTTATGTAATTCAGTAAGTGATCATTCCCCTCCCTCCTTCCCCCCTCCTACTTACCTGAGTTTTGGCGCCGTTTAGATTCTTGTGCAGATATACCAACATTTCGGCGAAACATACCGATTCCATCTTCAGGGAAAGTTTCTTTAAATATTATTCGGATAAGCTTCGACTTCAAAGGGTTAACATTCTATTAGTCTTCTATATAAACGTAAGAGTGCACACGTGTTACCAGAATTTACGAAGAATTGGTGAAATCGGTGTCTCCCTTCGGACCCACGAATCACAAATAACACGCGTGTTAAACACGCCTAAGACACGGACAGACATTCGATTTAAGAAGCATGTAACATCTCATGGTTAATTATTTTTTGGGTTATTTAATAACGCTTATTCAAGTAATTGGTTGAATGCTGAGGCGATTATACCCAGAGACATCACGTGACCAGCTGATGTGAAAATTCAAATAAAATTAATATTAAACAAATAAACGTGTAGTTTGATAGGAGCTGATTGCGCAGATTAATATAACGCGATTAATTATTTATCATTTCGTCTGTACCTGGGCTTTGCTGCCGTCCAACCCTGTTCAGGGAATTGCGTGTTTTGGAGTCATCAGTTCGGACATCACATGTCAGAACATCGGGTCGTAACTATGGTTACCCCTTGTTCCATTTTATGTCGAGTTTTTTATAGGCTTAGTAGTGAGTTAACAAGAATAGGGACGAATATCTGCGTGTTTTAATATAGACTGTACTATTATCTTCTTGAATTGGACAGAATGCATAATTAGGATGTCTATTCATGTAATGTTCTCTCAAACAAAGATGGACGAAACATCTTACACGCGTTGGAGAGATATATAAAATTTTAGTAAGAAACCACGTAGGCACTGGACCACTCGGGGGACAGGGTGAAATTTAAATGGACCTAAAGTAAATTGGGGTTAGGGTTGTGGATTGCATGCGTTCAAGCACTTCATTGGTGGGCTCCTGCTAAAACTCGGGATCAATAAAATACTTGGGGGAATTTTTTTTTGAATAAATTATAAGCTTAGAGTGTCGAGGGTTCACATTTGACGTTGGTAGCACGTTTGGTATTTAGCTTCAACAAAACTCCGTGATTTTTTATGTATTCTGACTTGAAGTTACGTGTTTATTATTAATGTGTTCATACACAAATAATTTTTACTTTCTGTTGATAATAAATATTTGTGTTAAACGATAAATATACCAGTTACTCTGTTAATGACTAAAGGATTGCGAATTTTAAAGGGTTAGCTTCAGTTCGTTCTGTTGTTTGTTTCGTCGTCTGACACTAAGTTGCTTTGGAATTGAGCCAGGACCACCAGATACGTCACGATCGAAGATATCAGCTGCGAAAATCAACATCCAGTTATGATTAGTCGAACCACTTCAGAGAGAAAAATGAATCTAAAACTGTATTTTCTTTTAAACAGAATCATAAAGTAATCCGATATTACTTTTCTTTAAAGGCGTGATATTTCTTGCAGAACGTTTTGTCTTACCGATGTCTGAAGACCTCTGTTCACTTGCACAAATCCACAAAGGTTTATTTCCGGTGGATATGCGATTACAGTCTCCAGGAATGTTCTGAGCTAAGGAAACAGAAATAACTTTTAAAATATGCAGCATTAATTAATTGTAATTTCATATTTAGCCATCAATTTCCATCTTAGTGTATGCATTTTCAAGAAGACTATTTTATAATTAAATACCCTTTCATAAAAATTCTTTATACGAATAAGAATTTTGTTAATGTTAACACAGTTTCAAATTCAAGCAGCTATTGGCAGGTTTCCTAAAATGCGTTACTCTCGAGGGTTTCAATGATTGAAAATACAACCTTTAATATGCACTTCTTCATGATACGCGTGTAAGCAATTCAAAGTAAAGAATACTCTATTTAAGAAACGCAATACGTTTGTCAACTTTATGAATTATCTCACCTCAGCCTTTGTTTCGGCGTCCATAGATGTCGACACATTCAATAAATTTCGAAGCTTCTCTTGAAACTCTCTCCCGACCTAAAACAAATAATATCTTTGCGTGAATTTTACGGTTACGTACAGTTAATTGGTAGGCCTAAATCTAATGCGTTAGCTTCTATTAATTATCATGATTTTTGATTCTATAGATAAAAGTGTATACCGCGGTGGTCTAGCGGTTAGAACGCTGGCCTTGTAATCCTGGGGTCTCAGGTTCGATTCCCGGCGGTGCCCGAATTTATAACTTGTGTTGGGCAAGGCCGTGGTCTAGGCAACACGGAGTTTTCCTCCGTGGCATCCCAACAATTACTCCATTCACACACAGAAGAAGGCAATGGCAAACCACTTCTGGATCATCTGCCAAGAACGTATATGAACAGGTCCTAGTCCGAGAAAAGGATGGAAGGATCCTGTTCATATGGACCTGTCGTCAGACAGAACACTAAATAATAATAAGATAAAAGTCTGTAAAACACTAAAATTTTGAACAACGTCAGAATTTCTTCTTCGTAATCGACAGGTTCCGAGCTCAAATAACGGACTTAGCACTTGCCAAAAATTACCGAGGTTTCTTGTGGCATTTCAAAGTTCCTATGAAGAAATGCTACACTAGTAACTTAACATATCTACAATCAGGATGTAGAAGCTAAAAAAATCAATAATTTGCCCCTGCATGAACCCCGTCAGATCCACTGTTTTTCCAGAACAGAGGCATCTGTTGGCTTTCTGCTGGATTAGGCTCTTCGTCGTGACGATGAAGACGTGTTTTCCGAAACGTCGGCAAATCAGTTCACCACAAAACGGTGTCAACCCTCAAGAGTTGAAACGGAATTGACTACAATACGTACGAATTTTGTAGCGCGATCGGCTGCATTGCAGAAGACGTACGTAAGCCAGGTAGCTATGAAGGCGCTGATGAGGAAGCCTACGGTTGTTACTTCTTCTGCTTGCTGAATCCGGGACATGAACCCATATGTGCCGATCAGCTGGAGAGTGAAGTACAGCATAACCTGTCCTCCGTATGTGTAGCCCATAGCGTTCCCCAGGTCCTGGACCTGTTTGCTCAAGTGGCGCCACAACACCCCGTAATCAGCAACCCTGCAGGTGGTGGTAGCACGGTGCTTCTTTGACAGGCTCTGGAACATTCGACGCGTCACTAAGAGACAGAATACCACAAGACACGATTTTCGCTGTCATATCGTATCTCATGGTAAACACCTCAGTTAGTTTACTGGTAAATGAATTTTAAGGTTGTGTGCGATCTTCACAACTCGTACCTTTATCAGATGCTCTATGTTTATCGTTGAACAACTCGTACCTCAGTCAGAGCGCTCTGTGTTTCTTATTGAACAACTCATACCTCAGTCAGAGCGCTCGGTGTTTCTTATTGAACAACTCGTACCTTTATCAGATGCTCTATGTTTTTCGTTGAACAACTCGTACCTTTATCAGATGCTCTGTGTTTCTTATTGAACAACTCGTACCTCAGTCAGAGCGCTTTCAATTTCTTCCACAGTCAGAATGAAGGCATCGCTGGTGAGGACCCAAAAGTCGATCATCAAGTTATTCAGAAGACTGCAGTACGTAAAGATGACAGCCTGCCACCACGTGTAGCCCCGTTGCAGGAGCAGCAATATCGCTGTGAAGGCAACCGTGACAACACAACTCTTAACAATCTTCATCCTCATCTTCCTGCCCAGCCATATCAGCAGGTCTCGGTCCGCCACACGACGGAACTCCCTCTGCAAGATCAACGACGACGTATGAGACAAATATCAGTGAGACTTCACGTTTTCTGAACATCGGCATTAAACCGAAGTGGGACATCAGGTTCACGTTTAAGCTGTCTTAACCCAAAAAGGACTCCACAGCCAACGATGTTAACTTCTAAGTTAAACACACAAAATACGATCTTTTTTTGGACAATTTTCTTCATTATCAGAGCAGAAACAGGTGTAAAATGGCGCCATATTCGCGTGTCGCGTAGCTTAGTATATTACGGATTGCACATAATACATATAAATGTTACATCCGTGTAAGGTCTGCTTGAATTTCTTCTTCGCATTTACGCAACCGTTTATATTTTAAATTATTACCTTTTTGGAGCCGAAGTTCTCCAAATTATATTTAATAATTCAGTCCGTACCTCAAAGAAAACACTTCACCATCACAGATATTAAAGCTGTCGTGTCATTTGCAATTCTCTGCAATGTTGGTTTGCTTTTGAAGTACAAGCGAATTTCAAAAGCTGATACAATACGAAATAATAATTATACGCGTTACCTCTAGGTTACCCCAGTCCTTGAAGAATCTCGCCTTCTTTCCACTTTCTGGAAGATGGTTGATCAAGCCCAGGAAGGCTGGAAAGAAACACAGACTGCAGCTGATCTCAAGGACGTTTTCTTTAAAGTCTGCGCTGTCATCCGCCAATTTCCCTAACCTCTCTTTCAGAGTAATGACTGTAGTAACCACGATAATGCCTTGTATCAGTACGGAGTACAACGTGATCCATGAGAGTAATTTGAAATCAACTTCTCCTGTGAACAAATGTAATGGAACACGAAAGATTTACCCTTCGGTTGTAAAAAGAAAACTGTAAAGTGTATTTGAAGCACTGTGTTTGAGTGGCTTGTTTGGTCCGATGTAGTTTCGTTCTGTTCGTGTCAGCAAAAATAAAGTAAGGAAACGCGCAATGAAAATTATATTTATCAATGATCGTATAATTTACACTTGGTGCAATGAATTTATTAATTGTAATTTTGTTCATTTAGCCCGGATGTGCTGTGTTTACAAATTATTGGAACTTTGGATTAAATAGCCAAATATATGGTTTACTCTACGTGTGAAACCTTCGCTTTGACTGTTCGTTAACATCCCTTATTATATTATTTCTAAATGTCTTTGGAACACCCTGTACATACCTAATATTTTAATTTTACTTGAAATCATTTTGGGGAGCGACTTGACTTACCGTTTGGCTGGAAATTAATGGGCAGTATCCCCATCATCCTAATCAACTGTAATATGGGCATCAAGTCCGCCTGCAACCCAGGACTTCGTTGTGAGGACCTCCGACGTGTGGTCTCTGGGTGATTCTGCGCATGAAGAGGAACTACCCAAGGCTCTCCCGCGAAATTTTTGCGTATTTTTTCATTTTCGATGTTCATATTGGACTCCGATTTCACATACAGCCCCTGTAAAACTGAGCCATTTAATACTGCTGTAATCGTCGTAACGTGGGCCATAAGTTCATATCCTGTGGAGGTTTAAAAGAAGTCCATGCAGGGGTACCAACTTTTGTAGGGTACAGCGTATAGGGAATTTGGCTTGTAGGCGCTTATCATTCGACTAAATTTAATTATTATTAGTATTAATATGGAGCAGAGACTTGGACACTCAGGAAGAAGGAACAGAAGTACCTGGAGAGTTTTGAAATGTGGTGTTGGAGAAGAATAGAGAAGATCAGGTGGACGGATCGAGTGACCAACGAAGAAGTATTGAGGAGAGTCAACGAGCAAAGAAACATTCTGCAGGCGATTACACGAAGGAAAGCTAACTGGCTGGGACATATTATGAGAAGAAATGGATTACTGAGTGATATCACCGAAGGCCAGGTTGAAGGAAAGCGAGGACTGGGAAGAAGACTGATACAGCTAACCGACGACCTTAAACAAGGAAAGAAGATGACGTTCCAGGAATTAAAGCGAGAAGCCGAGAATAGGGACAACTGGAGAGCTCTTTTTGGGCAGAGCAATGGACCTTTCGTAAGACAGAACACTTAATAATAATAATTAATATTACGTGCGGTTGAATGAGATATACAAGCATTTGTTCTGTGTTGATGATGTTAATCTATGTGGTTAAAACATAAATACCATAAAGTAGAACACAGAAACTGTGTTAGTTGCTAGTAAGGAATTTGGTGCAGAATTAAGTGCAGACAGAACTGAGAATATGTTCATGTCTCATCACCAGATTGATTTAAAAAGTCATTACATAAATATAGGTAATGAATAGTTCGAAAATGGGATGATAAGTTCAATCACGATCGCCCTGATGATGGAGGCAGTAAGCATCTCCGAAACGTCGGCTTATCAGACAAAGGATTAATACATAACATAAATAACCTTTTCCAAATTATATGTTTCGTCCAAAGTTATGCAAATGACGCCATTTTTGTTTTAATGTCTGTAGCAATTTTAATACTAGCACAAAGCGACTTAGATGCTTTACATTCACCTGCATGTTCAGGAAGCTGGTTCTCTGCACAAGTGAACTCGGTAGTGGCACAGAAGTTGTGTTATTACTACTCAACTAATCTTCCGATAATCATCATTTTGGTGCAACGGGTACATCACGTTAATCAATTAGTAGAGCAGGCACTGGTAAGGTAGGGGAGTCCCATGGGACATTTCTTTTGCTTCTGTGTTGAACCAGTAATTGAACAATGTTGAAAGCACTGGCCCTAGTTTTGAACGCGCCCACGTTATAAATGTATTTTATGCAATGTTGCACGCGTCACTGGTTTTAATGGTCATTTATTTCTGCGTAGTAGGAAAATTTAAAAAAGTACATAAAATTAAATCTGATTTAAATATTGTGTATTTTATGTCTACGAAACGGTTTCAAACCCCTTTGCTTCAGAAAGTTTCTTTATATGATTATTATTGGCTCTTGATATTGTTTATTATCTGATTAATAATAGACATACTCTGAATTTTATTGGCTTTAATTATATATTAAACACTTTTTTTTAATAAGTGTCGCAAACAGTTAAATTTTAGACACAATTATGCTCTCTCATTATCAAAATAAATTAAAACAAATAAAAGCCATTATGTCAGTGTATATATTTTTTGTGCCATAATTTAATCCTCTCTTGCATTCCTAGGAATACGCCCCGTGGTGCTATATTAATACCTTACTACCTACTACCTGCTCCTGTTTGTCGCTTCGAAAACTTCAGGTCCCTCGTCTCTGCTGTGGATTTGTTTTTGAAGGCTCACTGCGTCCGCCTAGACGAAGAATATTCCGCAATTTTCTTCAGTTT